ATCCCGCGCCAGGCCCAGGCCAATGACCTCACAGGGACGTACCAAGGTCGGGCAATGGCGTATGTAGGCCGTCAGAGCAAAGTCAATTAGTCGTCTCGTCGAGCGGGTTCGCACGAGCCGTCGCGTCGTTCATCCGTGCTGCAAAAGAGGAAGGGAAAGATGAGGAGGGATGGAGGAGAGGGAGGAGGGGGTGGGATGGCAAAAAGAATCTTGGATGGTCCGAAAACCTGGGGAATGGGCGAGGGGGGAGCTGCTGCAGCGGGAGCAGGCGCCATACACTACACTGGGGAAGGAAAGAAGGGGTCGCAGCAGAGGCAAGCACAGGCAAGCAGGGCAAGCATGGCAAGCTAAAGGCAAGCACATGCCTCGGCCTTTCGACTGCTCCTCCCCTGTTCCCTCCCAGCTCCCCTAGCGCATATTCACGTGTCTCGGCCTATCAGCGCCTACCCCCTTGCCCCTGTCCTGCCTTTTCCCCACGCCGTTTGATGACATGCTCATGCACAAGGGCAGACTTGTGTAAACATTCGGAACCCCAGTCTGCCTCTACCCATCGTGTTTGTTGTCTCCCCCTTGTCAAGGTGGTTGTCTGTCACTAGTGGACGGGCCTTGGAATTGGAATTGCACTGGAATCACGGCCGCCACGCAGCCACACATGCTCAAGCTGTTCAACGCGACAATGCATTACGGACTACCAACGGTGCAACGATCACAAGCCCTGGCCTCGAACCCTGCCGTCGTCCCAACGCTCTGCATGCTTCACTACGGCCGCCTTCCGAAAACCCAGGCTGCTCGAAGGTCTCCTTCTCGAGAGCCTCGAGTGTGTCCCTGGATCCATCCTACACAGGGACAGCCCCCGGCACTCGTCGGCCCATCGTGTCCAAACGAGCCTTTCTCGCGTGACTCTGAACCATCCTGGCTCACATGCTCATCCATCTCGCTCAACCCCAAGGGTATCACCACGCTTCGTCCCGCCCCCTCATGACATCCGCACAACTGCGCTGAAGGGGGCCGCGCCGTCCCTTCTCGGTGGCGTTCTCCCCCACCATCTTGTCCATAATCCGTGGACCGCGGTCTTGAGAGCACTGACGCAGACCCCGTCAAGACCCATCGACACACGGGCTTGCGTCCGCGAGGTCGAACCGACGAGACCTGCTTCACCATATCCCTTTCAGTCCGCCCATCCCAGCCAGACAATGTCCGGCCCAGGGGGCATCGCAGGGTTGCCCCATCGCGCGACGGCGCGTAAACACAACGGCAAAACCAAAAGCAAGCGGGGGAATCAAACTTTTGTGCGCATGATGCAAATGCAACTCGTCATATCGGTCGTCGTGGCTGCTGTGAGACAGAAGGAGAACAACCAGCCGTGCGTGGCTGCTGCCCTGCTACTGCTGCTTGCAGTCCACCGTCGTTACTCATGATCGAATGCGAACCCTCGCCTAAGGGTACACAGCCACGGGGTGCTGGTGGTCCGAGCCGCCGTCTTCGCGCGCGTACATCAGCGGAGTCCACTTGCGGCCCAGCGAAGCGCCCTCGCCGTGGAAGGGAACCATCTCCTCCTGCCATCCGAGAATGTGCCACACGTCGCCACCGTTGCGTGGCTCGACGCTCTGCAGCGAGTGGCGGATCTGTCCCGCGTGCGGGACGCGTCCCTCCTTGACATCTTCGAGTGCCCGCAGACGCCGCAGTTCACGCTCCGACACGACGGACACCATGATCTGGTGGCGAGCCTCCGAGTTGGCCCAGCTCGAGACGTTGCCGTAGACGCTGGACTCCAAGGCGGGCTTGAGGTAGGCGAACGGAAGGTTGGAAT